ACTTAGGGAAAAGAAAGGAGGTCGATCTTCAAAAATAAGTTATGGCCCAAAGGGATTTTAAGGTTCATCACCAACAAAATGGATAAAAAACCAAAGGAATCGCTCAATTGAGAAAAATTGTAATATATTATCAACTAAAAATTTGCGTACAGACAACTGAGAATGCACTTCTTATTTATGGAGGGACTAAGACACATTAACCTAGGAAACATCAAATTAGGAAGCTATCCTTCAGCTTTTAAATTAGCTGAAAGTCCTTTATTCTTCAATTTATAGAAATTCCATCTTGGACGCTTTCTCCTCATTGGATCAATTGGGTCATGTTGTACCCGAAATGTCCTATTGCTTGAATAAACAACAAATGGTCTTTAATGGAATTCGATACTGCCGCATCACCCAACCTACTTTGATGGAGATGTCACCTCTAATTAGATGGCAGTTCATCCTAAGATATGGAGAAGGGCCTCCAACAATGAAAGTTCCCGAGACGTCATAATCACTATTACTTCGAGGAACTTGATTGTGTTAGTTTCTGAGACAGCTTTTCCAACTTTGTAAACAATATATCAACTTTGTTGGGAAAACCTCTAATGACGCCTTAAAGGGGAAAATTACCAAAAAAAATCTAAACATATTGTAATTGTGCCAATTGAGTTATAAACATTTTTTTACTAATTAAGTCCTAAACCTTTTACATTTATACCAATTCAATCCATCTAGCCAATTTTGTCCGGAAATCGTTAACTAGTGCCACCGACACTGACGTGAACAATTTTTATAATTTCTAAAAATTCTATGAATTTATTATTATATTATTTTTTTCTTTTTTTCTGTTTTTCATTGTGGCCGGCAAGGCGAGGCTAGACCTCCCTTTCGCTAGGCAAGGTCGGCCTTGCTAGAGCTAGGTTGGTGAGGGTCGTGCCTCACCTAGTCCCTAGCAGCCCTCACCAGTGGTCACAAGGTCTAGCCTAACTCATCGGATCTAGTGAGGCTCGACCCTCGCTGGATCTAACGAGGTCAACCTCACCCATGACTAGTGAGGCTCGACCCTCTCCAGCCTAGCTGCTGGCGAGGTCGACCTCGCCCAATGACGGTAAGGTCTAGCCTCACCAACCCAGCCCTGGCGAGGCTGACCTCACCCAGCGACAACAAGGTCCATCTTTGCTTGAACGATGAGGTAGCCGATGACCTCGCCGGCAATGATAAAAAACAGAAAAAAAAGGAAAAAGATAGATAAAATAATAAAAAATTCGTACAAAATTATGAAAATTGTCCAAATCAACGCCGGTGACGCCATGTCAACGATTTTCAGTCAAAGTTGGTTGGATAGATTGATTGGCACAAATGTAAATGGTTTAGAACTTAATTGGCAAAAAAAAAATTTAGGACTCAATTGGCATAATTGCAATAAGTTGATGACTTTTTTGGTAATTTTCCCCATTTTAAAGTTCACAAAACCTTCTATATCTAATTATTGTTTAATAAATGAAAATGTTGTCTCATTTCAATTAATGTTTATATAAATAAAGCTTCATAATCATTGACGGAATCTGAAGTGAAAGTGAAAAGATTGATAGAAACTGGATGGACCCTGATAAAAAGTGACCAAAGTCAGGAAGAACGAGAAGTGTGTGAAGACTTGGAGGTACCGTGACAAGGTGAACAATTGAGTGAAATTTTGATCACTAATGTACTAAGGAAGAACAAGGGGAAAAATTGTCTAAAAATTCCTAAACCAGTTGTGCGGCGATCAATTCACTTCATAACTTTTTTTTTAGTTTAACCAATTTAGTCCTCAACGTTTTGTCTAATTTTCAATGTAGCCATTCTAGTCAATTTTAGCTGTGAATTACTCACACGGTGATCCAATCAGTGTCAGCCATCCTACGTGACAAGACTAGCATTGACATAGCCGATTTGACATGGATGATATTTGCAAAATTTTAAAAATTTTCTGAATTTTTCCCTTTTTCTTTTTTTCCTTCCTTTTCTTCCCTTTTTCTTTTTTCTTTTTTTTTCCTATTTTCCTCCGCCAGTCACCGGGGCCTCAGTGAGGGCATGCGAGCTCTCATAGTGGCGGCAGCGAACTCAAAACCTTGCATGCTTATAACTGAAAATGCACTTCTTATTTAGGAAACGCTATAAAAAATCTTAAACTAGGAAACTTCACATTAAGAAACGTTCAACTAGGAAATAATCAGATTAGAAAATCAACTTAAATTAGGAAACTATACTTCAGCTTATAGAAAGAGCCTTTATTCTTCAACTCATGGAAATTGCCTGTGGAGTCATGTTGTACCCGAAATGTCCCTTCGCTTGTATTTAATGGAATCCGACTCCCGTATTACTCACATCCTTAATCAGGTCATTGTGGCTTCCATTAAATATCAAGCATTAATTTCAAATCCATGAAATAATTGCCTTGCCATATATTCTAGGTTGACCCTAAAACATAGATTTTTTCCAAAATCACACGACAAGTGCCCATAATTCTCTCAATTCCAAGACCTATAAATACCCGTACCCACCACCCATGGAAAACATCAAGATAAGAGGAGACCCGAGAAAACGGTTATCAAAACCAAAAACCGAAGCCGAAAGCCTCCGCAAATGCGTCTCCTCATCCTCGCCGCTGCCACCGTCCTCCTCCTCCTCCAAGTCTCGGCCACCGGGGCCGCCCGCAGGGAGCTGGTGGGGGGCTGGAGCCCAATAAAGGACCTGAGCGACTCCTACGTGGGGGAGATCGCTAAGTTCGCCGTCAAGACGCACAATGACGAGGCCAAGATGGGGCTGGTGCTGGAGAAGGTGGTGAGGGGCGAGACGCAGACCGTGTCAGGGACGAACTACAGGCTCGTCATCCAGGTCAAGGACGGGGCCGAGACCAAGAACTTCGAGGCCGCCGTTTTTGACAAGCCGTGGGAGCATGTCAGGCGTCTCACTTCGTTCAAGCCCGTTTTGGGCAACGCGTGAGGTCATGTTTGAGAATAATCGATGTCAACCATTTCAGGAATTTGACAATAAAACAAGATCCGGTTTTCATTTTTAGAATTGAAATATTAAGTCTGATGTGATGGCCCATTTCTGTTTGAAACATTTGGTGCAATTTGGGGGATCCTAGGTTTACCTTTCCTTTTCTTGTTCTGCTTCTGCTTTTCTGGGTCTGATCTTGCATAATGCAACATGCAAGAATTTCGTGAAGGGGGATCAGATTAGGTGAGCTGAGATGAGAAATCTGCATATAACCTTTTCTTTTTCTTCGAGGAGTGCAATGAAATATTCGAATGTTGATGTTTAACGAAGGAACCAGTAGATTTAACGGATATCACTTTGGTATCTGCTCACGTGAACTATAGGGAAGGGACAGACCTATGTTAGACTTGAAATAAGGGAAAAGCATTGTTTCAGATGAAATATCATTTGCCGACGGTAAGTTCTTGACTTCTGGCGTTTGGTGATGCCCGTTTGATGAAAACTCATATGACTTTGGGTGAAAGATAAGTATTAGAAATAATTAGGGATTTCTCTAAGATAATTTGTTGCCGGCCTCAGGCAAGGGACGCCCTAATCACATCGCCGTCATTCGACAGCCTAAAACCATAATATCGTCGCCATTGCCTTCAACATCAAAGAGGATCGGTAATTCACCATCTCTGCACATATCTCTCCGATATTTCCAGTCTCTATGGGCCGCGAATCGTGCTGTCATGAATTTAATCGCGGGCTCGTATGAGAAGTTCATTTGGGGCTCCAAGCTCAAGCCCCTCAAGCACTTCCCCCATGGCCATACCCTAGCCCTAACCAAACTCTTCTACTACCTCTCCTACCTCTCTCCAATCTCATCGGTCGCCGCTAGCACCCCCGTTGTGGCCTCCAGCACCGGCGATGCCACTGTCCACCTCTATAACCTAACGACGGCCTCCTCCCTCGGCTCCCTCCACCACCATTCTACTATGGTCACCGCCCTATGCTTCTACACCCCTCCGCACCTCTCGTTCCCGCACGATCTCCTCCTTGCTTCAATGGACGGCTCAGTGTGCATCTTCGACACTAATCCCTTTGTGCACTTGAAAACAGTTAGGGTTTACAAGAAGGGCGGAGTCAATAGCCTCTTGGTGCATCCGTTGGGGAAGCTGGTGAATTCACTAAAAGGACGAGGGAAAAAGGGAAAAAGAAAAAAAAAAGAGAAAGGGAAGCAACAGAAAATGAAAAGCAGCAAAGAGAAGAAAAGAACAAATAAAAAAGTCAAAAAAAGTATCAAACTACTAGTGAAAGCGAAACCTGTACACAAATAGTCAATATCCAAAATAATCTCGCAGATCATTTAGACTCCCATTGTTACTAAATTTAAAGGAATATTATCACAACATGTGTATTTATCAACACCCTCGCCTTTGTATAGAACAATAGCAATCTCATGATATTGATAATTTTGAAGAAACCGGTGACGATTTTTAGACGTTTAGGCATATTGGGATTAGAGTGAAAGTTTGAAGTTTTTTCGGATAAAAAACAAAGTTCGAGACAATATTGAACCTAAAGTTGGGGGGCTTTTTAAGGGAGTTTTGCCGAAGCAAGGACAAAAATACTAAGAATTTTTGCTAAAACTTAGTATATCCAATGATTTGGTAATTGGATGTTCAAGTAAGAGCGAAACCTATACACAAATAGTAGATATCCAATATAATATTGCCAAAACATTTTGGGGCAAATGCTAGTCTTGATTAATGAATTTCAGCATGCAATTGAGTCGCAAAACTTTAATTTCAATTATCCGATGTACTAAGATTTCATTGTGTTGTAATTGGTTCCTTTGGCCATAATTGATCAATTCCTTGATGAAATGCTAACATGGAGGAGACGTGGTCAACTTTATGTAAGCCGTCCGTGAGGCGCGGCTGAGCGCCCTAAATAAGGCAATCAATTTCAAAGCCCACACCAGGAAAAATAAAGCATAAATAAACATCCACAATTGTCAAACCCAACGCTCCAGGAAGACGCAGAAGAAAACGGTTACCAAAACCAAAAACCGAAGCCGAAAACCTCTGAAATGAGACTCCTCATTCTCGCTGCTGCCGCCGTCCTCCTCCTCCTCCGAGTCTCGGCCACCAGGGCCGCCCGCAGGGAGCTGGTCGGGGGCTGGAACCCGATAAATGACCTGAGCGACCCTTATGTGGGGGAGATTGCTGACTTCGCTGTTAAGAAGCACAGTGAAGAGGCCAAGATGGGGCTGGTGCTGGAGAAGGTGGTGAAGGGGGAGACGCAGGTCGTGTCGGGGTCGAACTACAGGCTCGTCATCGAGGTCAAGGACGGGGCTGATACCAAGTGCTTCGAGGTCGTCGTTTTTGACAAGCCGTGGGAGCATGTTAGGAGTCTCACGTCCTTCGAGCCCGTTCAGGGCAACGTGTGAGGTCGTGTTGTTAACCCTTTTAGTGATTTGAGAATAAAACAAGATCTGGTTTTCATTTTGGGAATTGAAATTGTTAGTCTGATCTGATGGCCCATTTCTATTTGAAACATTTGGTGCAATTTGAGGGATCCTATGTTTACCTTTCCTTTTCTTGTTCTACTTTTGCCTTCTGGGTCTGATCTTGCTTAATGCAACATGCAAGAATTTCGTGAAGGTGGATCAGATTAGGTCAGCTGAGATGAGAAATCTGCATATAACCTTTTCTTTTTCTTTGAGGAGTGCATTGAAATATTCGAATGTTGATCTTTGACGGAGGGACCAGCAGATTTAAGGGATATCACTTTGGTATATGCTCATGTGAACTATAGGGAAGGGACAGACCTATGTTAGACTTGAAATAAGGGAAAAGCATTGTTTCAGATGAAATATCATTTGTTGAAGGTAAGTTCTTGACTTCTGGCGTTTGGTGATGCCCGTCTGATGAAAAGTCAGATGGCTTTGGGTGAAAGATAAGTGTAAGAGATAATTAGGGATTTCTTTTTAATAATTTGTCGCTCGACAGTGTTCTTTCCATACGAAAAACTCTCATATGAGGAAGTGCTTAGTCGAGTCAATTCCATGATGGTTGTGTTTCGATGCCAACCGCAATAACTACACATCAACCGGTTGAGCATTTAATATTTTTCACGGAGGTGGCTTTCGATGCCCGCCGCATAGCATCGCCCAGTAACAATTTTCCCAAGCTAGCCGTATAGGCCGGTTGGTGCATCGCTAAGTTACTATTTCGCAAGCCAGCCACATCAGCCACTTGCCCTCTCCAATTCTCTACGTTTCACACATCTTTACACCACTGCTAGGCTCGTCACCCTCAAACCAGCTAGATATGGAAGACATTTCTCGTGTTGTTACACGACCACTACACTCACCGCTCTCAAACCAACTAGATTTAGAAGTTTCGCCATAAACATATGCGGATGCCACCTCATCCTCCAAGTCTTAGCCGATAGACACTGATTGACTTGATTTCAAACTCAAGCTGACTTGATCATCTTGAATACCTTGAATTTGAGGGGATGTTAGAGATAATTAGGGATTTCTCTGACATAATTTCCTATGTTAGAGATATTTTTATAGAATTTTGTTGGGAAAATTGTCTAAAAAGTCCTAAACCTATTACATCATTGCCAATTCAGTCATAAATTCAATTTTGTCAATTAAGTCCTAAAGATTTTCACGTTTTACCAATGAGGCCATCCGGTCAATTTCGGCCAAAAATCACTAATGTGGACTGTGTCAATCCACTTGACATGTCTTGCATTGACGTCAACAATTTTTTAATATTTTAATTATTTCCAATTTATTTTTTTCTTTTTTTCTTTTCTTCTCTTTTCCTTCTTTTCTTTTTTTTTTCCTTTTCTCTTCTTTTCTTTTCTTTTTCTTTTCTTTTTCTGTTTTTTCTTTTCGCCGAGCCTTGTCAATGGTCGACGGAGGTCGCCGGCCTCGGGTGAGGGATGCCCTGATCACATTGTCGTCGTTCGGCGGCCCAAAACCCTAACTTCGTCGCCATCACCTTCGACATCAAAGAGGATCAGAAATTCACCATCTCTGCAGATATCTCTTCAATATTTCCGGTCTCTATAGGTCGCGGATCATGCTGTCATGAGTTTAATCGCGGGCTCGTACGAGAAGTTCAATTGGGGCTCCAAGCTCAAGCCCCTCAAGCACTCCCCCCATGGCCATATCCTAACCCTAACCAAACTCTTTTGCTACCCCTCCCACCTCTCCCCAATCTCGTCCATCACCGCAGCCTGCCCCGTCGCCGGCGACGCCACTGTACACCTCTATGACCTAATGGCGGCCTCCTCCCTCGGCTCCCTCCGCCACCATTCTTCTACGGTCACCACCCTCTGCTTCTACACCCCCTCCACACCTCTCATTCCCGCACGACCTCCTCTCTGCTTCGGCGGATGGCTCAGTGTACATCTTCGACGCTCATCCCTTCGTGCACCCGATAACAGTTAGGGTTTACAAGAAGGGCGGAGTCAATAGCCTCTTGGTGCATCCATTGGGGAAGTTGGTGCATCCATTGGGGAAGCTGGTGAATTCGCTAGAAGGGTGGGGGAAAAAGGGGAAAATAAAGAAAAAGAAGAAAAGAAGAGAAAAGAAAATAAAAGAAAAGCAGGAAAGAGAAGAAAAAAAATTCAAAAAAAGTATTAAAATATTATTAAAAGCGAAACCTATATACAAATTGCTGATATCCAATATAATATTGCCAAAACATTTTAGGGTGAATGTCAGTCTTGATTACTGAATTTCGGCATGCAATTGAGTCGCAAAACTTTAATTTCAATTATCTAATTTACTAAGATTTCGTTGTATTGTAATTGGTTCCTTTGGCCATAATTGATCAATTCCTTGATGAAATGCTAACATGGAAGAGAGGTGGTAAGCTTTATGATTCTCATATCATTGCCATTTAACCTCCACCTCAATAGTTTTTCAGAAAGCTCGTCAAATTTCGGTTGAAATCCTGTTGTGAAAAAAGGAGAAATTTGGTGCATTGAGTAATTAAAATCAAATTTCATTATTGTGATTGTAAAATTTACTAAAAGATTAATGACCATTATTGAAACCTAGAGAAATATCTAAGTTGTCCATATGGGGGCATAACCATCGTTGACAATAACTTTTACTATAACGGCCTCAACTAGTCATGAGATCGCAACACATGTCCATTTTAATTTGTGTTTGACCACCTCCAAAGAAATCCTTCACCCAAACCCTAATCTCCTCCTCCCTCCCTTCCTCCCTCCCTCCTAGCCCAAATCCCAACCAAGCCGCAGCCACCTCTAGCCACTGTTGTCGATGACAAACACGATCCCCCCCCCCCCCCCCCCGCTCTCTCTCTCTCTCGGCCCCCTCCCTACTAGATCTCTCTCTCTCTCTCCCTACTAGAGCTTTCATAAGTATTGAGCTTGTTAGCAGTGATCAAGGTTGATGAATTTCACCCTCCCTCCATTAAAGTTTTTGGCTCCATCACCGTCAAGAGGCACACGTTGAACTCACATGGTCACAATTTGGATGAACCCAACCAAATAGATTCGAAGTCGGGCAAGAATCTCCATAATCTCTTCCAACATCAGACGAAACCCACACTTTCCAATAATTGTTTCACAGATTTTTAGAAAAAAAAAGTCATATATAAACATTTGAGCAGAATGATCACATCAAGGTATTTATATACTAATGTAAAAAATCTTATGGTTAATGTTGAGGTACAATATTTCTTTAATACAAAGGGGGTAATAATGCATAGGATTTATTATTAGGATAAATAACATGACGAAAGAGAAGACAAGGGAGGGGAGAGCGACAAGTGTTAATGACGACAAGTGTTAATGACTTTGAAAGTAGGACTCGAGATCCAGTTGGATCCCGCCAATCGGCTACCGTGCACCCATGGCCACCGAATTGCTCCCCAAGCGCGGATGGCCAACCGTTTCCTGCGTGTGACCGGCACGACCTGACAACCGTTGGATCTCTCCCTTGTCAAAATCTAATATTGCATCATCATGTCCTTAATTAATAAACTCTGAACAAATTAATAAAAAAATAATGACACAAATCGTCCCTAAATTTTTACTCAAAAGTGTAAATGTGGTTCTTAAACTTTTAATTTGCTCAATGTGATCTTTAAACTTTAGGCCAATGTGCAATATCATCCTTGAACTTTGAAGTTGTTTAATATAGTCTCTGGACTTTTGGTACATGTTCAAATTAGTCCCTAAACTATACGAAAATTGTTCATTGTTGTTCTTCAATTAATTCAAGTTCCAGGACAATGCTAAATATTTTCATATAGTTTTGAGACTATATTGAATATGAATCAAAAGTTTAGAAACTATGCTAAATAAATTAAAAGTTCATGGATGACATTAGATATTGAGCTAAAGTTCAAGGACCACATTGAATAAATTATAAGTTCAAGGACCACATTACACATTAGGCAAAAGTTCATGACCATTTATGTCATTTTACCTAAAAAAGGGAAAAATAAAATAATTAACTAAAAAAAACAAACTGCATGTAAGAAGAAGATCGTGTTCTCTCTCTCTCTCTCTCTCTCTCTCTCTCTCTCTCTCTCTCTCTCTCTTTGAGAATTCCTATCTCGCCATGCCCGATCTATTCTTAGTCAAAATCAGGCATTGGAGCGGGAAACCCTAGGAGGGGATCAATAGGCGGTGGCGGAGGCAAAGGTAGCGGCGGAGGCTAGATGGACTAAATTGACACAAATACAAAAGGTTTAAGACTTAATTAATAAAAAAAAAGGTTTCGGACTGAATTGGTATAATTGCAATAAGTTGAGAAATTTTTTGGTAGTTTTGCCAATTTTAAAGTTGACAAGACCTCTAACTCTCATTATAGTTTAATAAATGAAAATGTTGTTTCATTTCAGGTAATGTTTATATGAATGATGCTTTATAGTCATTGACGGAATCTAAAGTGAAATTAAAAAGATTGATAGAAGCTGGATGAACCTTGATAAAAAGTGACCAAAGTCAGGAAGAACAGGAAGTTTGTGAAGATTTGGAAGTATTGTGACAAGATGAACAATTGAGTGAAATCTTGATCACTAATGTGTTAAGGAAGAAGAAAGGAAAAATTTTCAAAAAAGGCATAAATCTATTGTACAGCGGTCAATTCAATTAATTTTTTTAAAATTTTATCAATTTAGTCCTCAGCTTTTAGACGATTTTTCAATGTAACCCTAGCTTTCAGCCAATTTTAGCCGCAAATTGCTCACCCAGTAATCCAATCAGTGTCGGCCATCCCACGTGGCATGACCGGCATTGACGTAGCCGGCTTGACATGAATGATATTTGCAATTTTTAAACAAAAAAATTCTGAATTTTTTCCCTTGTTTTTTTCATTTTATAAAGTATTCTTTAACTTACGTAAGAATAATTGTCTAACGCAAATAATAATTATGTATTATGATTTGAGAACCGCTTATGTAAAGAATAAGTTATACCGATAATGTATTGGTACTTTTAAATAAGTCTAATTTTGTAAGTTTATAGACTTTAATTTTTTGTGAATTCCTTTCACGAAAAAAATATCTGCTGGTGGAACTACTAGACAAAAAGGTGGGTCTAATGGTCATAGGTATTTTTTAGGAGATGAAATGACAGAAACGGATGAGAAGAAAAATATTTTAAGAAAATATATGAAAATAAAGAGTGACTGATTTGCTTGGTTTCCAGTGCTTCAGTTGGAAAACTTGTGGCCCCTATTGCTTCGTCATTTCTAAAGCTGACAGAGCGGTCATGCCAGCGAGATACATATTTATTGCAGGACTAAGACACTAAATTAGGGAATGCTATAAAGAATCTCAAACTAGGAAACTTCACATTAAGAAACATTAAACTAGGAAATAATTATATTAGAAAATAAACTTAAATTAGGAAACTACACTTCAGCTTATAGAAAGAGCCTTTATTTTTCAACTTATGGAAATTACCTATGGAGTCATGTTGTGCTCGAAATGTCCCTTTGCTTGTATTATTCACAACCTTAATTAGGCTATCGTAACCACTGGGGTTTGTCCTAGTGACCACCCTTCCTACTTGTGAAGGGAGAGATGGAGAGTTCGATTCCCCACCTTCTCTCGGAGGGGAGGGGTTCAAGGGTGGGGAAGTTTAGTTTCAGATTGGGTTTTCACTCCCACGCTTTGCAAAGAGGCAGAGCAAAAGTCCGAGAGTAAGTTGAGAGTTAGAGTATGATAGGCCAAAAAAAAAAAATTAAGCTATCGTTGCGACATCCAGATTTTTCATAATAATATTTGTGTGACATTAAGAATTTTCTATGTCCAATAATAACATTTAGGTTATAAAGTGAAGTATTATTTAGCTTAAAATTTGGGTAGACATGTAGAAATCTTAGTTAAAATGTTCATTTTATGAGGCACGGAAACGTGGAGATGATTTTTTCTCAAACGTGATCGTCAAGTTCAACGTGTTGCAAATTAAAAGAAGTTTATGCATATGTTAATATTATAACGGTGTTAATTAATTCAACGTCGTCTTAATAGTTGATGGGTGGTATTATTTATTTAAACTTAAATTAATTAGCACTAATTGTAATCACTTGCATTAATGGCCCCAAAAATAGAAGAATACTGTTTTTATTATAATTATTCATAAATATCTTGGATTAGGACACAAACACATCATGTGGCATTTGAGAATAAGTGCTTGGCCATATGGCTCCTTCATACTCAAACTTTACCACTAATTTTGACACATATCCTTGAGTCATCATTCTTATTAAGCCACCTTAATAAGCCACTTGTTTTCCTTAAATAGCATGAGAGCCACTTGTGTTATCTTTGCATGTCAATACTCTTTTAATCTTGACACACAATACTCACATGCCCTTCTAAGGATACATGTAAAGCCACGTGTCTATTCCAAGGTGAGACTCATGCTAACTTGACACCTAAAAACTAACTGTCATCACCATAGGGCATTAGTCATCAAATTCTTCTATCATTTGGCCATCAACTAAGTAAGACATGGCCACATGTGATTTACATGCAACATTCCATCTAATAATTAACCATGGTCATCGTTTTAATCCTAAAACCGAGTAGATTTTACTTTCTGAATTTGATATACTTACTTATGAACTCGATTATGTTTTACTTTCTAAATCTAAATATACTTACCTTTGAACCAAGTAGATTTTACTTTTTGAATCTAATATACTTATTTCTGAATTCGAGTAGGTTTTACTTTCTGAATACGAATATATTTACTTCTGAACCAAGTAGATTTTACTTTCTGAATTTGAATATACTTACTTCTAAATCTGAGTAGATTAGACTTTTTGAATCTGAACATACTTACTTCTGAACTCGAGTAGATTTTACTTTCTAAATCTAAATATACTTACTTCTAAACCCGAGTAGATTTTACTTTCTAAATCTGAATATACTTACTTCTGAACCTAGGTAGATTTTACTTTTTGAATCTGAATATATTTATCTTTTGAACGTGAGTATATTTACCTTCTGAGTCTGAGTATAATCACTTTCTAAACTTGAGTATGATTACTTTATGAACCTGAGTATATTTAATTTCTAAATCTGAAAGTATTTACTTATCTTCTGAGTATATCTATTTATTGAGTACAACCACATGTTGTTTCTTTATTTGATTGAGTGACTAATGTACTTCATTATGTTGATAAATGTGTGGCCAAATAAGAAGGGCAGAGGAGTATATGTATGGAAGTGTTTGTAATTGATTGTTTATCATTATTTGCATGAAAAATGACAAATTATTGTGATGAACATGGCAATTATTATGAATTGCATGCGAATGGTGTGATTAAGACCTTTGCCAAGGCTTATTTGCCACCGAGCAAATTCCCTTGTATGAGATGTGAATAAAACTCTGGAATTAGCTAAACGTTCTACTGTTTATGATGATTCTCTACAAGGTTGAGATGACATGATATCTTACGATGACATGACTCATGTAGTCATGGTATGACATGATCCAAGACTATGTATTTTGGGTTAATGTGGGAGTAGTGGCGCTAGTTACCCCGACCCTCTACCCAAGACTATGTATTTCGTTATGTTTTGCTTAGATGTTGTAACAAGTTAGTAGCCACTGATGCTATCATAAGGAAGATGCATGTGTATATTATTAAAATCATGTGATTTTTTGTTTAGGATGATGTAAAATTTAGTTGTGCTTCCGAGTGCTATTAATAAATTGAAAGAAAATTAGAAAGAACACGTGTCACACGTGACGTTCTGGGGTGTTACAATCGTGGCTTCAATCAAATGTCAAGTCATTAATTTCATAATCCATGAAATAATTAATTACCTTGCCATATATTCTAAGTTGACCCTAAAACAGAGATTTCTTTCTTAAATCACACCATAAGTGCCCGTGATTCTCTCAATTCCAACACCTATAAATACATGTACCCACCACCCATAGAAAACATCAAGATAAGCGTTCGATTTCAAAGCCCACACCAGGAAAAATAAAGCATAAATAAACATCCACAATTGTCAAACCCAACGCTCCAAGAGGAGACCCAAGAAAACAGTTACCAAAGCCAAAAACCAAAGCCGATAACCGCCAACAATGAGACTCCTCATCCTCGCCGCTGCCGCCGTCCTTCTCCTCCTCAAAGTCTTGACCGCTGGGGCCGCCCGCAGGGAGGCGCTGCTCGGCGGCTGGAACCCAATAAAGGACCTAAGCAACCCGTTCGTGGGGGAGATCGTTGGGTTTGCCATCAAGACGCACAATGACGAGGCCAAGACGGGGCTGGTGCTGGAGAAGGTGGTGAGGGGTGAGACGCAGGTCGTGTCGGGGACGAACTACAGGCTCGTCATCCAGGTCAAGGACGGGGCCGAGACCAAGAACTTCGAGGCCGTCGTTTTTGACGCAGGTCGTGTCGGGGACAAGTCTTGGGAGCACGTCAGGCGTCTCAGGTCGTTCAAGCCCGTTTTGGGCAATGCGTGAGGTCGTGTTTGAGAATAATTGATGTCAACCCTTTTAGTAATTTGACAACAAAACAAGAACTGGTTTTCATTTTCAGAATTGAAACATTTAGTCTGATGTGATGGCCCATTTCTATTTGAAACAATTGGTGCAATTTAAGGGATCTTATGTTTACCTTTCCTTTCTTGTTCTTTTTTTGCTTTTCTGGGTCTGATCTTGCTTTATGCAACATGCAAGAATTTCGTGAAGGGGGATCAGATTAGGTGAGCTGAGATGAGAAATCTGCATATAACCTTTTCTTTTTCTTCGACGAGTGCCTTGAAATATTCGAATGTTGATCTTTGACGGAGGGACCAGCAGATTTAAGGGATATCACTTTGGTATATGCTCACGTGAACTATAGGGAAGGGACAGACCTATGTTAGACTTGAAATAAGGGAAAAGCATTGTTTCAGATAAAATAGCATTTGCCGAAGGTAACTTCTTGACTTCTGGCGTTTGGTGACGCCCGTTTGATGAAAATTCATATGACTTTGGTTGAAAGATAAGTGTTAGAAATAATTAGGGATTTCTCTAAGATAATTTGTTGCTCAATAGTGTTCATTCCGTGTCCCTAAGATGACTTTATGTTTAATGTTCATAACAAGAAGGAACGAAGTTTTATAAGAAGTATTACCTTTTACTATTTCAGCTTTTGGAATTTTATAATTAATATGTAATTTATTTCCTGATGCTGATTTAAGTGATTGGGTTATTTTCTCAAAATATTTGGTCGGTATAAGACCTTCTCTAATACAGTTGAGATCTGCTCCTATATCAAAGAGTGCTGTTGTATTAAAATGAAATCATTATTGATTCTTATAGTGATATTTGTAAACCATTTTCTTGTTGTTATTTCTGAAAGAACGAGCAAAAAGTTTGGATCGGAGGGGTTAGGGCTAGAATTGAATTGAGATTCTGAAGATTCTTCAATTTTTTCATTTCCTTTCATAAAATTGGATTTTATCTCTAGAATTTCCTTTTGCATCTCAATTTGGGTATGCTTGAGATTCTGAATTTCTTGCTTCTAGTGGTTGATCTCTTGATTAAGATTGTTAATGGAAATAGGTCGAGAAATAATTTTCTTCCCCCTATTGAGAATGGTAGAAAGATTATAAGGGGCATCGGAATGCTGTTTGGAGGTTATAGAAGATTGGAGATCACTGAGATATTTAATTCTATCTTTAGAGTCAACGATTTGATCAACTGTTTGTAAAAGAATTTCTTCTTCTATTGTTAGGCCATTTATTTCAAAAAAATCTTGAGATTCTTCTAATTCTGAAGAGGAAGTGGTTTCAATATCATTAACCTAAAGTCCATTTTCTTCGGATTCATCAAAGGAACTGATATCAGTTTCAGCCATGATTTGACTAAGATGATTAAGAGTTTCCTCGTCTAGATTTAATTCGTTAAGTTTTTTACTTATTTTGCAATATTTGGTAGTATGTCATGTCCTTTCTTTCCACAATTGTAGCATTCAATATTTTGGAAGGACTTTTTAAAGGATTTATTTTTGTCATAACCTTTTCTAATATTCTGGTTATTATTATTATTATTATTATTATTATATATAATTGATTCGTGCGTGCAAGTGTGGCTTTGAAATGGACCATGCTAGGTTCCATAGTATGTAGGGTAAGTTCTAAGTTCCAAAAAATGAGAAACCTATTCCCATTGGTAGGTTGTAACAGTCTGAATTTTCGATCCTTTTCCCGGGATCTATGAAATGAATATTTTGGCCAATGCACTTGTAGTGAAATCTCACCCGGAAATGCGCATTCACGGGATGCTAACCTTAGGGGTAAGGCTATTACGGGATTGAGTTCGCACGACCAAAGAACTCGACCTGGGTTCGATCTTCGACCATATGGATTGACGAGGGAATGTTTTGAGCCAACCGAGACCGATCTACTTGATTGATCGTGTCCAAAGGGCACTAGCGACAGACCCTCGCAATTATATGACAATCGAGGTCGTCTTGGTTCGAGCAAACTTAAACGTGATTTGACTTAGTGTCGGTCATGGGTCGAGAGCGCGTAATCCCAATGAGCCACCCGTTAGCCAGAGATAAGCTAAAGTTGCTATTGCTCGATTTTAGTCATTTCTTGGAATTCGGGCCCGGGAATCGAGAATTTTGAAAGTGACAATTTTGGATGGCCGATGACGTTTTTGGCTTGGCCAACCTTGGGGCCACCCATTTCTGCAAAAAAATGGATTTCGGTCCGGGGCCGGGAAAATTACAGTTTTGCCCCTGTGGGCACCGAGGCTGGATTCGAAGGCCGTTTGAGGTTATTTTTCGCGGCCAAGGTCATTTTGGGGTGGCCACGCACATTTAGAGTGGTTTTGGCCAAAATTGGAATTTCGACAAAAATTGGAAAAATAATATTATTTTATTCCCGAGACTTTGACGTGGATTTTCGAGGGCTTGCGCGATGAATTTCGCGATTCCGACGCCATATTATGTTGGCCACGCATATATGGAACGCGTATGTGCAAAAATTGGAATTTCGGTTCGGGATCGGAAAATTACGAAAATGCCCCTAGGCCATTTTTGATTAATTCCGAAAATTGGATTTAATTTTGGGATTAACCAAGGTGAGTTAGGCTTAACTCAGGTCTGGTCAACCATGGTTAAGAGCAAATGACCATTCTACCCCTAAATTATTGGATTGGATCAAATTTGGGCCCTTGGATTAGGGGCAAAATTGTCCAATGGGCCTAGATTGTGACACTTGGACTCCACTAAGCTATCTTTGACCCATTTGACCAGATAGTCTTCTCTCTCTCTCTCGTGCAGACCCATTCAGCCATATTTTCCCCAGAATTTTCCTCTTCTTCTTCACGTTTCTGGTTCTGCAGTCCCGTTTCTGCCATTTTCGGTACTGTTCACGCCGGAACAGTACCAGCCGGTGCTGCCCCCACCAAGCCAACATCACCAGCAACCATTTCCACCTCTGTGCAGCCACCACAGCCCCAGTTTTTGTCCAAAACAGCCTTGTTTCTCTGTTTTTCTCTTTCCCGGTCTGCAAACAGTACCGCCGGAGCTTCGCCGGAGCTCCGATCGTCGTTCCGTCGACACCCAGCCGTCCAGCCTCGCCGTACGTCGCCGTCCAGCGTAGTCCGTACAGTGTCCGTACGGGGTACTGTTCACCCCGTCCGTACGGATCACTGTTCACGCCCGGACCGTCGGACGCCGCGGCTGTCACCGGCACCTCTTTGGCCACCGTCCCAGCCTGTCCGTACAGTGTCCGTACGGAGTGGTACTGTTCATCGCGTCCGTACGGAACACTGTTCACGCCGTCCGTACATCGCCGGCGACGCTGCTGCCGCTGTCCCGGCCCGTTCAAGCCCCGTTCTGTGTCGCCTTTTTGGGTAAGTGTTTTCCCCAAATGTCATTTAGGACCTCGGGTATTTCTAGACTCGTTTAGTATTCGGTTTAAGTGATTTTAGGGACTGTTAGTGGTTATTTCGTGGCTGTCTTCGGGACTAAATTAGGGGCTGAATGTTTGGAGGTTGTGGGCTGATTGGGTGACGAAATTCGTGGTTTAGGAATGCTGAGTTAGGGCGGTGATGTCGAGGATCGATCGGGAATTAAATGGGTGATTAATTGGAAATGTATTGGTTTGATTGGGTTTATCGGATTAATTGTGTAGTTTGCTGTCATTGGCTTGTTCTAGTTTGTGATTGGGCCGAATGTAATGTGGCGCTATGCCGTGTGTGTGGCCGTGAGGTGTGGTGGCGTGGACATGTGAATGTGCATTGAGTTCGTGTGCCGAGTGTGGGTGATCATGTGGTGTCCGTGTGATGAGAATGCGTGTTTGTGAAGTGTACGTGAGATGTGAATTTGGTGTGTGGCTATAAATGTGTGAGGCGTGTATGTTTGGCCGTGCGTGTGCTGGTTGTGTGTAAGTGTGGTTTGAGTGGAACGAGGATATGGAAATGTGAGATTGGTTGGAAAGGATCCGTCCCGGGCGTGTACGTTACGCGGGACGATGCCGTCCCCGACGAGGTGACGATGCCCGGCCCGACGGGGTGTCGATGCCCGACGTGGTCGAAGACCGTTGGCCGATGCGTTTACGCGGGCGCGTAGAAGGAAAGTGTGTGTAGGATTCCGTCCCGAGGCGTGTACGTTTACGCGGGACGATGCCGTCCCTGACGAGGTGACGATGCCCGGCCCGACGGGGTGGCGATGCCTGACGAGGTCAGAAGACCGTTTGGCCTGATGCGTTTTACGCGGGCGCGGTAGTGGTGGAAAGGTTGAGAATGAACAAGAATTGGCGGGACGAGTGAAATTAAGAAAGTGACGCGTGGTGTGAGTTGGTGTGCGAGTGTGTTTGTATCGCGTGGTGTGATGCTCGATTATGGGGTAAAAACTGCTAGGCATGGTATGGGACGTGCCCAAGTGGGTTTTGCTCTATAATCGGGGCACGCGCGCTGCTGTGATGTATTTCTGTGGCATACTGGATGTGTGGTTGACTAACGTGCAGGGACGTGCGTGAGGAATTCCAGGTAGGGTCGCATGTGATTGTTAGTTGGCTGATCGTTGTGTGTTATGTGTGTTTTCGTGACGTGAGTGCCTACGTGGGGTTTGGGGTTGTACACTTATTGAGATTCGTCTCACGGTTGTATAACCGTCACTTTCAGACCCCCGGCCCTAAACCCGGGAAGTGCGCCTTTTCTTTTTGGAAGTCCGGGGAGCTACTGTTGGTACCCAGTGGAGCTGCAGGTGAGTTCCAGAGATTCGAGCCAGAGATTCAGAAGCAGACAGGAGGAGGGCGATCCTTAGGTTTTTCCTTAAGATTTTAGGGGTTGTGTAAATCGGGTTGACCCATAGGGAAGTTAAGTTAACCAGACCTCGATCTTTTGTTTAAACGGTGACTGAGGATGTTAGTCTGTATTTATGTCTGGAATATGATGTTTGTATATTTGGTGTTGTATGAATATGTGGTTGCTTTGGATTGTTCGTTGTTCTACCCCGTTGT